CTAAGTGCCACTTAGGCTGGCTCTTGCTGGGAAGCGGCTGCCATTACTGTAGGTAACTGCGCTGAACTTATTCCTCATATACCACAAAAGGGGCGATAACTTTCAGTCTCTGCCCTGGGCCAGGCTTGAGTCAGCCAGCTAGAACTGAGAGATTCGCCCTGATCCATTACAAGCCTCCCGAAACACCCCATCCCTCAGCAGCGTTGGCATGTGGGACACACATGAGCCCCGCACATGGATGGGCCCCACACGCCAACGGGCCCCACACGCCAATGAGCCCCGCACGTGGACGGGCTGTGCATGCGGATGGGCTCTGCACGCCGACGAGCCCCGCACGCCAACGGGCCCCACACCTGGATGGGCCCCGCATGCGGATGGGCCCCACATGCCAACAGGGCCCACACGCCGACAGGCCCCACATACTGACTGTCCCTGCACGCCGATGGGCCCCGTGGCCGAGCACACGCTGCTCACACGGATGTCACCACGGCCATTTCACAGCCGAGATTAGATGTCCCTCTCCAGCCTTGTTTTAAAGAGGATTTATTACAAAATATAGACCATGTGCAAAATAAATTCCATAAGAAATCTAAGCACCCACGGCAGACCAGGAGCCTTTGACCATGACGTGGTAGTGTTACCGGTAACAAGATAAAAAATGGTGCAAACTGCACCCTGCTGCTTTGTCTTCGTGCGGCCATTAGCAAGAGGAGGCACGTTTTATAAATTCACCATTTTTCCTCATTTTTTTTCTTCTATCTGTCATTCCGTGATTAGGAAGGGGATACAACTACGGTTTAGCCCTGTGGTAGAATTTACTTCAGTGATTAAAATAACTGCATGGAATTAGCACAATTCTAACATTATTTTTTATTTTGTGTGGCAGAAAATCATTGCTCCTGGGATAATTCTTAACCTAACAGAATGACCTCTATGAAATATGTCCAAAAGTTTTATGATTTTCCCCTTCATGCTAATTTAATGTAGTTCAATTGTTTAATCTTAAAACGAATACATTCCAAATAAAGTAATACAGTTTACAGCAAGACACTGTAGGAAATAATTAGGCTGCAAGTTCTGGAGGCTTTAATATGGTTGAAATTATATAACTATCTTTGCATTCCCTGTATAGTCCTATTAAATGCAGTAGGCATTGATGTCGCTGGCTGTCAGGAAGCAAAATGAAAAATAGTTTTAATAGCTGCTCTTTGACCTGTTTTATATTTTATGTCAATTATAACAGCACACAACCATGCATAATTATGAAGCATAGATGCATTAAAATGTACACATAATTTGTGTTCTTATGGCAACCATTGCGTTAGGATTTAGAAAACAAACTGATGACTTCCTATTGTTCAGTCATCTTGACATCAAATACGTGAGACAGTTCTGTGAATCTGCTTGTTTTGTATAATTTTTAAAAAATACCCCGAGAGGGGCAAGGACAAAGGGCAGCGTGATGGCGCGGAGCCCGCGGCCACGCCGGCGGCGCTCGGCCTCGGCCCTGCC